TTTTATAATTGGGAATTAGGGTTATACGAACGAAATTAATGATTGAGGTTTGGGAAAGAGGAGAGAGATAGAGAATCGGTCGAGGACTTAGAGGGATAGGAATCGATAATTAAGAGGATAGGGAGGGATTAGGGTTTAGGAGATTTCTTAATATTCTTCTTCATTAATTCCGAATGAAAACCCAAAGTACATATTTATATGAATTAAGAGAAAACCCTAACAATAAACCTAATTCGACCAAAAGAATGTCAACCATAATAATAATAACCCTAATAATAATTATAATAATAAAGTTAGAAACCCCAAAAGAATCGGTTTCTAACAAGATTGCTTCCCCACAACAGTCACTTTTAAGTTAGCTCTAGTATTGATGGCTTCATTTCCAAGATTATCAGGGCTGACCAATGAATCTGGGGAGGCCCTGTTACAGAATTGAGATAGAGTTCAAATTGATTTTTAGTATAATAAAATGGAAATTAACATAACATCGTTATTTAAAATATAATCTCTCTATAGCATTGTTTAAAATAAAATGATTTATTAGCTCTCAAATTTTCATAGTCTCCATGATCAACGAAATCATTTTCAGTCGTTGCTATAACTAACCATTAATGCTTTCTCGTTTCTTTTATCAAACAAAGAGGACCTTCGACACCCAAACACAACTTGAACAATCATTATATGTACCTCATGCATATGTATACATGAGAATATTGACCAATAACTAGCAATAATATTAATTAATATAAATAAAGTTATTATCAAAATAAAATCAATTAATCATATACCAATAAACCATAAATACAATATATAGTATAGGATCAAATTAACTAACAAATCTAAATAAAGACCTTCTAATATTCAGCGGTCCTATGTTGATAGGCCTCCCAAAACACCCTCATCACCGCCCCTGAAGATTATTCTTCAACATCATATTGCATTGGTCGAACTCCTATGACCAAAGTCAAGATTTAGAATGAGCTAAATATAGCTGTAAAAAATTGCAGTAGTTTCAAGGATTGAAAGTACATATTGGAGAAGGGCCGCTCATGGTTTACCATCCTTATTTGTGACATTTACCAAATAGGAGTCATAAAGGATTGCTTGGATGAGTTCTGCGCCAGCTCAGGGCAACGGGTCAGCTATGCCAAGTCAGTTTTGTATGTGTCGCCGAACATCAGACAAGACAGAGCTCGTCGGCTAAGTGACAGGGTAGCCATCCCGCAGGTTACTAACCTCGGTCGGTATCTGGGCATTGAGGCTATCCACGGGCGAGTTACCAAGAGCCGGTACCAAGCCTTGATTCTGAAGATTCAAAAGAAGCTGGCACCTTGGAAAGCTAGGAGGCTCTCCCTTTCCGCGAGACTTACGGTCACTCGTTCTATATCTCTTGCTATTCCCACCTACTCTATGCAATCTGAGTTAATCCCTAAGAATGTTTGCAATGCTATAGATAAAATTAACAGGGATTTTATCTGGGGGAAGGAGGAGGACAAGGGGAAGATGCATTTGGTGTCATGGGAGAAGATGACAGAACCTAGGGTGCAGGGGGGTGGAGGTCTTAGACCCCTCAGGCAGGCGAACCTCGCTTTACTGGCTAAAGGAGGGTGGCGCATTCTGAAAGAAAAGGATTCCCTGTGGACTCAGATTTTTAGTGCTAAGTATGGGCAGCAGATAGAGGGCCTCGACATGTTCCGGCCCATTCAGGGAAGTTCTTTTGCCTGGAAAAGCTTTACCAAAGCTTCCCACCTTCTCAAGAAAGGTTGTGCGTGGAACATCCAGAATGGGAGAAGCACTAATTTTTGGTGTGATGTGTGGGTTTTGCAGGTGCCTTTAAAGGATGTGGCCAGGCAGCCCGTTCCGGAAGAGAGACTGAAGGACACTGTCGCTAGCTATCTAGATGACAATGGCGAGTGGGACGTGAGTCGCTTTTCTCAGTGGCTGTCCGTTGACGTTCAACAGAAAATCACGGCAGTAGCGGTGGATGGCTTCTCCATGGATCAAGATACTCTCTTCTGGGCTCCTTCCCCGAATGGCCATTTTACTGCTAAGTCGGCCTTCAAGATCGCCATGCCTCAGCAAGGGAATCAAGACGAGAATATGTGGAAGAAGATCTGGAGTAACCCGGTGCCCGAGAGAGTGCGGTGCTTTAGCTTGTTGGTAGCCCTGAACAGGATTGCAACTAACAGCCTTCTCTGTTCCAGGAAGTGTGCCCAATCACCGATGTGTTCCCGGTGTAGTAACTGCCCGGAAACAACGCTCCACCTGTTGAGAGATTGCCCGCCGGTGATGTTTATTTGGAACAGGTGCATTCCCCCCACCGAGCAACCTGGGTTCTTCTCAAGCACCCAAGAGGATTGGTTGCGCCGGAACTTCCTCAATGATAGAGAGATGGCGAATGGTATGCCGTGGAGTGCTTTCTTCAGTATAACCATATGGCTATTGTGGAAAAACAGGTGCACGACGGTTTTCCAAGGAGCGCAGAAAGCTCTGACAGCACCATCGCTTTTGCACTCTATCCAGCTGAAGTCGGACCTGTGGTACAAGGCGTGGTGCTCTCCTATCTTGGGGCCTAGTATCCGGGGGTCAGGGAGGGATCGAGTGACAGCTAGCATCCATTGGAATGCTCCTCAGCCGGGGTGAGTGAAGCTGAACATAGATGGCGCTTCGGCAGGTAATCCGGGGCTTGCTGGTGCAGGTGGGCTGATTCGTGATGCTCAGGAGCTGTGGGTAACAGGCTTTGTGGCAAGGATCGGGGAAGCTATTGCGGCTCTGGCGGAGCTATGGGCTTTCTACCATGGGCTTACTCTCGCCTGGAAGTGTGGTTGTGGTAATCTTGTGATTGAGACGGATTCTCAGCTGGCGATTCTTCTCATTAATAATCGTCACGATCCGGTGCACCCGTATGCTGCTTTGTTAGCGTCTATTCGGAGGAAGATAGCTCAGGACTGGTTGGTTAGTATAGTGCATACATACCGAGAGGGGAATAGAGCCGCGGACTGGCTCTCGAAGCACAGTCTCGTCTATCCCTACGGTATGCATGAGCTGACTAACCCGCCTAGTGACTTAGCGCGGATCTTACAGGATGATAGTATGGGAGTGTCTTTTGACCGCCAAATTGTGGCGCCCTCCTCCTCTTAGCCTTTTGTCTCCTCCCTCCTTGTCTTTCTTATTTCTTGGCTTTGGCCTCCCGTAATGCAAAAAAAAAAAAATATTCACAAGGAAAAGTCTGCATTGGCTAGTACAATGTTGTCAAACTATATATCTATCTCTGATATTCCCTTCAAAAAAATATCTATCTGTGATATACCATCCATTCCCCAATTTTAGTTAGTACTAGCTAGTTAGTGTACTCGCGGTAATATGCTTATATATATGGGTGTATATTCTTTGTTTAATTTTGTTATGTTAGTATTATTGCCATCTCCCGTTCATTTGGTGTCTCCAATACTGAACACGTATAAAATTCTTATAATACATTCAATATTCATATTTAATGAACTTAAATTAAATTGAAGTTTATTTTATATTTATGTATGTTTAAAATGATTTATTTCTTTTATTTTGTATTAACTTACTATTAGATGTACTATTAATTTAGAAATAAAATAAAATATTTGTATGTATTATATGCACAACTTATCTCATTTTACACAAGTTTACCATCTTTATCTATATATTTTTTTAATTTTCAATCTCATTGGACTTTAAACCATTTTCTCCTCTTTCGTATTTCTCCATTTACATTTTTTTATAGATGTATTTCTCCATTTACCTTTACATAAGTTAAGACATGATTAGTAATTGGGCTTCTCAAATTTTAAATTAAACACAAAAGGGAAGGGAATGACATAATTGTAAATAAGCGAACAATTATCTGATTTTCAGGTCACTTTGTACGCGTGTCAAGACCACAACCATTTTTCATTTGGAACTTTCCTTTATATATAGAATTTTTAAATTTAGCACAAAAGAGAAGGGAATGACATAACAGTAAATAAGGGAACAATTTTTTGGTTTTCAGGTCACTTTATACGCGTGTCAAGACAAGCCTTCAAGAAGGCTTGCCTAGGTTGACGCCTAGGCATGATTAATAGCAAGGCGTAGGGAAAACGCTTTAACTTGGACATAATTGTAGAATAAAGCGTTGAATGCGCTTAATTGGTGAGAAAATAGCCTAGGCGCGCACATAAGGGGATTAATTGCAGCCTAGGCAGAGTGGCGGACTGATGCGTGGTGCTAGGCGGCTGTAAATAAATTTGAAACGCTGTCGCTTTCGTCCTCACCTCTCACTCGCAAACAACTAACCTAACGGGATCAGTAGCTTGCTAACCCCTATATGAGGTTGGAAAAATAACACCCTCTATTACTTATAGTTAATTATGGTATTAATTCCGTGTTGCATTTAATAATCTTTGAGAATTAAAAATTCATATTAATTACATTCCTTTTTTTGAACTACCATTGCACCTGCACATGATACCATTGCACAGGTAGAACTACCATTGCACTGAAAAAATAAAGTAATTAATATAAGTTTTTAATTCAAACATATTATTAAATGCGACACAAATCAATTACGTTGAAAACCTATAATTAATAGGGGTATCATTTTTCTAACCTTTAGATTAGTAATGTTATCTCCCCCTAACCTAATCTTGTTGGGAATGAGAAATTGGCATTATTCACTTGGTGATAATGACATGAGGTTCCTTTTAATGCAATCCATCCCTACTTCTCTCACTCGGTTGTACTTTTACATATATATAATAATTAATATATTTTGAATAAATTTGTGTTTGGTCATTTCTTATTGGTCAATGATAATTAGTGATTCTAGGAAATGGTGTTACTTGTTATGTTTAACAATGATAATTAGTGGGAATCAGGAAGTTGACCAAGACAATGAGCAACCTTGAGATCCAACATGATCAGGCAGCCGCGACGGCGGTGGGTCTGGCGAATCGGGGGAAGGATTTTCTGGAGGGGCTTAATCTTGCATGGATCTGGCGGAGGAGATGTCACCGAGGCACTTGAATTGGCTGCATCGGCTACTCTCGAAGACGGCGGGGCCTCCCCGCAACATCCTGGCCTCTGAAATAACTTGGATCTGCAACTCTCCGGCGCCGGTAGCCCGAATTTGCATCTCCATCTACAAGAGTATTGCTCTCAGCTACGCTACCAAGAGAATCGATCAGCAGAGGGTCTCTGTCCATGAGAAGATGGGACCAGCTCAACAAGTTCTTCAGTGAAACCAAGTAAAAACTACACTGGATTACTACCTTTGAGTGCTAGGGTTCTTCATCCCGGTCTTCTCGGGTCTTGCTTTCTAGTTAATCTCGCTGCCATATGATTATGTAGATCTTTTTGTGAGTTCAGTTGGATTCAATCCGGGAGTGGCTGCCGTTTCTTTGTGACGACTCCTCCAGCGATCAGCCATTTTTATTTGAGATTTATTCTCGATCCCACGATGCGGGTCATCGCTATAGGCTTCCTTTGGAGCCCTTGAGATCATCTTGTTGTGTTGCAATTTGGTGGAATTTGTTTCATCTTCAACACTGTTCATGGCAGAAATTTGTGGGATCTTCCACAGATTCTTCTTCTCCGGCGATCCGGTAACTCAAACTCCTTCCGAGCTTGGTTGCCGGCGATTCAGTGGTGTCCATTCCCGCATTGATTGTTTTCCGTAATTTTAGTGAACGTTAAATGTTGATTTGCGTTAATCCCTCTCTCTTCTATCGAATTTAATTTTGATTCAAAAATGAGATTTATGAGGCTCATTAAGTTTTTCCTTGTTTTTATGTACTCAACTAACGTTAGTTTAGTCTCCATTTTAGGTTAATTTATTCTTGGGCAATTCATCATTCTCAATTAATTTTGAGTCAAATAGGAAATTAATAAGGCTGTTTAAGCTCTTTCCTTTTTAATTGTTAGCCATCGACAGCTATTTTCCATATTAATTTGGGCTTTAGGTTCTTAGAATTTTAATTGTGACCCTGGTTATTCTTTAATAAATATTGTGTGTTTCCTTTTTGTCTTTTTTATTTCAGTATTTCGGTTATTCTTAGTTGTTTTAGTGTTTTCTTTTCGTGTTCTTTCTATCTCCTTTTACGTTTTAATTTCCTTTTGTTTTTATTGTAGTTTTTTTTTAAGTCCTTTCCCTCTTGTAACAGCAACAGTCTTTTTGAGTGGGTTGTGTTATCGTTGTTTGACCTTTGCGGTTGCTAATTGTTATTTTTTTCTCTAATTGTTGTTGGTTTTCTATTTTGATTTTCGTGTTTACTATCATTACGTGCTTTATTATTTTTGGGTTTGAGGCTTGTTGTTGTATTATTTCTAATTTTAATAGTTTTTTATGTAGTAATATTCTTTTTATTTGTTTTACCTTTATAGCTAGAGGTCTCATTTGTTAGTATTTTCGTTAACTCGTTTATTTGTTTCAATTTCGTTGGTTTTATATTTATTTTTGTTGTTGTATATGAATTCCCGACGATGGCTCAATGGTATAATCTTCCATAGCGAAGATGTAATCGTTCGATTTGATTGGGCCACAAAGAATGCTCAAGGATATGCATCTGATTTCGTTGACCTCCCAGGTTCTCAACTGGCATTGGTGATGCGGCATCGTGGAAGTCTTATCACTATAAGGGAAGTTTATTTTCTCTCTTCTCGTCCCCTGTGTCAGTTTCGTGTCCTTTTGCTCCTCGGAGCTTTCTTAGAGCTGCCCACCTCGTGGCATCAAATGCTCTTTCATCGGGAGTCCGGTTGCATACGGGCTACCGTTCTTTAATTTTGTCGGTTATATATTTTTGTTGTTCGGCCATGCCCTCGGGGCTTATCTTGGATAAAAAAAACAATGATAATTAGTGATACTAAGAACCAAATACTTCTTCGTAGTGAATAATGAATTATCATTTAAGTAAACAGTTCATATACTACATTTCACCATTAACATTCATAGTAAATTAAAAATTTTGTTTGGTGCATGATAATTAGTTGCTGTTTGATTATGAATTATTTTTTATATCAGATATATTAGTCTACAATGAATGATACTAGTGAATAATTACTTATCATTTAAGTAATAGTTGCTTGTTATTTGTTATGCTAAGTGTTAATGGTTAGGAACTAAGTGTTTCTAATTTTATATGAACTTGTGATCATGTGGAGTATTCTAGAAAACATGAAACATTTGAGAAATTTTTTCATTTCTGCTGTGAACGCCTAGACGCACTTAGACTACGCTTAATCGGGCTAGGCGCAAGTCAGGAGCCGATCGCTCACCTTACACCTAGCGCTCTTTTGAACCTTGGTCAAGACCACAGCCAGTTTTTGGACTTTAAAGCATTTTCTCCTCTTTCGTATTTCTCCATTTACTTTTACATAAGTCAAGACATGATTGGTAATTGGGCTTCTCAAATTTTAAATTAAACACAAAAGGGAAGAGAATGGCATAATTGTTAATAAGGGAACAATTTTTTGGTTTTCAGGTGACTTTGTACGCGTATAAAGACCACAACCATTTTTTTCATTTGGAGCTTCCCTTTTATATATAGAGTTTTTTTTGCCTTAGACAGATAGTAATAGACAGGAGATTACAGATTGGAAAGTAAAACACGACAGTCGATACTAACCGATCTGTCGATGAAAGAGCATTTGATGTCACGAAATGCGCAATTCTGTTAGTTCCTAAGAATAAAGTGACCAAAAAACACTATAAATCTAGAAAATGATATAAACTCCCACCACCGATCGCGCACCCGCATCCACACCCAGAAGATATGCACGACAACAATGTCGTCCACTATATAACCTCCACGACAGCATCCCAAAAGCCAATTCATCAGCTGTATCCAAAATGATGTATAGGCATGCCTCACTAAAACGCTCTAGTAGTAGGAAGTAGGAACCTGTACACCTGCAAAACAAGCAAAAGAAAAGGCCACAAGCCCAACAAGCCCAAGCAGGAAGAAATCCATTCCCTCCAAACGATTGACTTCAAAATGCCGGATAATTAGTGTATCCTGCAAAATACAAAAAAGAGACTGAAATCAACCAAGTAGGGCTGATAAAGCACTAAGGGGTGATTTTGATCAAAATACATAGCAAAACAAACAATCGAACGATAATGGATGGAAAGGTAGAATTCTCGCCACAACCGAGGTGATTACTCGATTGATAAGAGAGCTTGTCAAACGATTCGGGAATCCACTTAGAATAGCTTCCCAATGTTCTTGAAATTATCTATGGAATCCACTCGAATCTAAAGACAATAGGAAAATTCTCGAGACACACTCAAGAACTCAAAACACTCACGTAAGAGCAATTTTCATTCAACACAAATTAGATTCTTTACAACGTAAAATTGAAAGCTATTTAAAGACAATAAAAACCTAATAAAACTAGGAAACAATTAAGGTAAAAACAAACCCTAAAAGTACACAAAATTTGGCCACAAACTCTCTTTCTTCAAGCACAAGTAACCTCCCTTTTAGCACAAGCAAACTGGCAGAAAAACAGTTTTCGTACTAACATCCTGCCATTCGTTCAAGGCCTTCCAGAACTCCAATCCTTCATCCAGTTCCTTCCCTTTGTATATAAACATACCTATCTTCATGTGGTGGTAGCCTTTCGACTCGAATCAAAGCCATGCTCCTCGAATTGAGCTCCAAAGTAGACTTCACAAAACAGTTTTCTACCTTAGCCAAATTCTGGCAGTTTTTTAGCTTTCCAGATAGCATCTTTGGACGTCTGGAAAATGACCTTCTCGACTTCTTCCTGGGCTACCAAGCATACCATCGTGTAGATAATCTACTTATCTTCAAAACAAGCTATCAAACTCAAATTTTCATTTAGCCAATTGTGAGAACCAAGCCTCCAAAGTAGGCCACCTGAAACAGTTAAAACACCTAACCAAATTCTACCCCTTTCTTGCCAATTGAGATTGCTTCTTCGCCAAGCAATAAAAACGTGTATAGTTGGCCATTTGGGATCATATCAAGAGCCATTTTAGAGCTTATTCACCAGGAACTCTTCCAACTGATTAGCTGGTTGTGCTTGCCAAAAGTTATTGCCACGCACACCCAAAGCCCCAAACTCCTCACCACTGCGTTCCGATGCCACGATTTCCGGTAATGAGCCGTGACCAAAAGGACTGAACTTTGACCTAGGGGTGGGCATCCGGTTCGATAAACCCGAACCGACCCGAACCAAAACCGAAGTTGACCTAAACGAAACTAAGATATTGATGTTCGGTTCAGAATTCGCAAGAGGAAACTGGTTACTTCGGAAACCAGGAGGCTTTCAAACAAAACCGGAATTCCGAATTCCAAACCGAAAACTGAAATATAGCCCACAGCCTACTAAAACCCACCCACAACCACTCTCCAGCCCACTGAAACCCAGCCCACAGCCAACCCCATCCTCTCCAAACCCTAACCTCACATCACAGCAGTCGCCACCCATCCTCTCAAAATAGCAGCCACCACCGCCTAGCCGTCCGCCATCAGATCGACCATCGCACCACCATCTTCTCCTTCATGCACACACCACGACGGAAGAGGAGAAGAGCTCCCTGACATGCAAAGTCTATTCCACACCTAATTCGACCTAGACGCGGAGCAAAGAGCGGTTAGTAGAGCCGGAGAGGAAGGTCGAAAATTGAGGGAGAGAACGGAGAGGGAAGAGGCTGAGAGAGGGATTGGTGGCGAACGTCTTCTGTGGATTCTTCATAGAGAGCGAGAAGCAGAGATGAGGGAGATAGTGTCGGCGGCGGGAGACATGCGGAGAGAGGGGTAGATGCGGAGAGGGAAGTCGTTCCTCCATAGATGGCGTTGACCCCCTAGGATAAAGCGAGAATAACATATTTGAGGGAGAGTCGATAGAGCGGTGATATCAGACTATGTGAGGAGCAATGGAATTTGGATTGGAAATTGGAATGGGAAGCTTGTTTGCTGGGCGAGAGAGTGAGAGAGAAAAGTAAAGAAGAAGAATATTGCGGAAAGGTTGTGTTGGTGGGGTGAGCCGAGAGAGAGGGAGAGGGTAAAGAATAAAGAATCCCCTCTCATCTGGCCCAGCGGCCAGAAGACAGAAGACAGAACAAAAGCACAAAAATGGACAGAGCATACATTTTTCGGTTTGGAGTATAAAACCGAACCGAGCTATAATTCGGTTCAGCCAACAGAACCGAATTATAGCTCGGTTCGAATTCGGTAGAGGGATGTTGTGGTTCGGAAAATCGGGGTATACCATTTCGGTTTGGTTCAAACCGAATCGACCGAACGCCCACCCCTACTTTGACTCACTGTTAGTTTTTTATGTTTGCTGAGGTCACCACGTAGCTTCAAAAATTTGGGTGGCCACCTGCAAAACTAATAAAGACAAACAAAGCCAGAGCCCTGACATAAAACAATCATTAATAAGTATACCTTTCCATTAATTAAAGGATAAAGGATAATCCTTATCCAACCCGCCAAAGGGAAGTTAAAGCTCTATGGCTGCCAAGGATGGGAACTCGGCCTTATCCTAGAAAGCAAGCTCGCCGCCACATGTCAGATAGATGAAAACAGAAAGAACAAAGGGTATTTGCAGGGCAGAGGTAGAGACTGGAGGGCCATAACTCCGGCGATCAGAACTAGGGGTAGGGATGGAGGAGCTGCAAGATGCATATACAAATGAAAGGTCCAACGCACAATACCTAATAATTGCTAAAGACCACTACGCAAAATCAGGCATAGAGTAAGAGGAATTTGGCAAAACCAGTCCAATCTGAAACTTGATGCATAGAACGATTAATACTACCAAGCAAACCAGAGCAATCAAAATTAATAAAGCTCCAAAGAAGCTATCAAAATCGCGAAATGGTAAAAATCACCAAAACCCCCAATTTTTGAAGGTAAAGAAAACCCCAATTCCACTAATCTGATAAGGGGTATCAGTAAGCTGGCCGAGTCTGGCATTGTCTAATTGTATGGCTCTCAAGTGAGAGGAATCGCCGAAAGAGGTGCGTTCTATGTTATCAAGGAATTGGTCCTTCATTTCTCGCTTCTACTAGTGGTCTCAAGCAATTTATGTGCGATGATGAAATTCCTGATGTTCGGGACCAGAACTTTGAGAAGACGCTGCTGACCAACTGGAACGGCGGTGCCGTTCGTCATGCATGTTCCCTGGCATAAGAGTCTTCACCATCTCCTATACTTGTTACCGGTGGTGGTTTTGAGGAGAGAGGGAAGCAAGAGTGAGAACGAAAGGTTAGATAAGAGAGCAGATGAAGAAGAAGATGCAAGGGGCTGCGGGGAGCAGCGAGAGATAACCTCTTTTCTTTCAAATGCCGTTTATATATATAGTTTTTAAATTAAACACAAAAAGGGAAAGGAATGGCATAATTATAAATAAGGGAACAATTTTCTGGTTTTCTGGCACTTTGTACGCGTGTCAAGACCACAACCATTTATTCATTTGGAACTTTCCTTTTATATATAAGAGTAATACTTGCATAAATTGATTGAATATATTTTCTTATTTTAACAATAGTAACATATCAATGTAATACCTTTTAAACTACGTCTATACAATTAAATAACATTATGCTACGTTATTATCCATCACAATTTCAAAAAACATATTTATGTTGATGCTCGTCCCCCTCTTGAGAAAACCAAAATTGTCCATCTACGTGCCGCTATTAGTGATGGTATAATTTTGACCTGATTCATGCGACCCCATCTGCTCCGCCCTGTTTGAGGCATGTATAACTCGATCCGCAATAAATTGGGGCGAGGTATGCATTTTACTTCTGACCTGTCCGCTTTTATTCTCAACTCTTTCTGTCATGATTTGCATCAATATCTATTGTGTTTCTCCTCTTTAACTTCTCTAAAATCATACTAGCGTGGACCCCGGCCATTTGGCCGGTGGAAGGTGAGGTATGAAATTTGATAATGTAATGAGGTGTATAGCTTATTGTTGTATAGTTTTTTTTTTGGTTACACGTGATAAAAATAATGAATTTAAGTAGGAAAGAGACATGAATGATGCAACGAATAAAAAATCGGCCTTATGAACCAAAATCAAGTACCTGTTACCTTGTGAAACAATATTGTTTCTGGTAATATGATGAGGTGGAGTAAGTTTACAGAAACCGAATTCCAGAAAATCGAATAAAAAATCGCCTATCTAGCCGGTTTTCGGGAAATGAGCATCTCACAAGCGTTGCTAGCTTTTACTCGGCCTGTTGGCCGATTAATTTGATATATAAAACTTTCAATTTGTCATCATTGTGCTTTCTGATTTTTTGCCAAGCCATGATAAAATGTAAAGAAATCAAGAATGAGCAACACAATTTGAGATAGGAACCACCGTTCCTGTATCCCTAGAAAATGGTGGTAAACACGAACTCACTTGCCAAACTAGTTTGGATTAAGATTTTTATCGGGTATCAGGGAACCATGTGATTATAAATTAGACTTGATCAAAACGGGCTAAAACTTGAAATTCAGCATGTTTGACCGACTCATGCTAAACTCTAACTATTCTTTACTTTTAAACTTTCTATTTGAAAATAAAAAATAATTAAAGAAAAGAGATGACTGCAATTCGCCATTTGCACATCACTGATTCGGGAATAAAACTATAGAATTTCGAAAGGAAACTGAAAATGTTTAGGATCGTTTTAATGTTAAAAATAACCAAATAGATATTTCTGTTTAGTTTTTTACTAACAAATACCAAACGATTCCCTATAATATACACTATAATTTAATCATTATGATATCAAATAATTACATAATATATATTTGAAATGATAAAAATTGGACTAATTGGGTTGGTCGAGGTTGAACCATTGAATAACTTTAAAATATATTATATTTTAGCCATTAAGATATAAAATAATAGCATAATAAATATTAGGTTAGAGAAAATAGCTTATTTTAGAATGACAAACCCATGATGTTCATTTGTTTTACTTGATGGGCAAATCCCGTGTAGCTCAGACCCATTCAACTCTTTTATTTTATGATTAGCAGTTAGCCCATTAGAATCCATGCATTAGTTTATTGTCAAATTTTTTTCTTTTTAGCAATAAAAAGGAGTATTGTTTTTGCCTTTTCATATATATTTTACCACCAGGAGAAATGAAAGGACTTAAAGGAAAAAATTGACACTCATGGACCCGTTTAAATCCGCATGTTACGGTAAGTTGGCCCGTTCCACAGAGGAAAAAGAAAAAAAAATTGACACTCCATATTCAACCCTTCCTACAAACGCTTCTGGAGCAGGAAATTTGAAATGGGGGAAGGGTTTTTTCCTCTCTGCGATTATATGTTTTTAATTTAAAAAGATACAACAAATGTACTTAGTGTGATTGGTTATGATCTTTGCTTTTTTTAAAGTGGTCATGGTTCGAATCCTAGTGTCTTTTTAATGAATAAAAAAAAGTAATTGTGAAGACAAAAATGTCCTTCCTATTTTCACTCTGGATGCATGAAATTTGAAATGGGGCTTCAAGTTTTCTCATTTGGCTTTTATTTATTGTGTAGATTTTCACCCAAAAAATTTTATGACTCAATCTTTCAACTTTTCATACTCATTTTCTGCTTCTACTATTTCTCGAATTCAATTATAAATTTTTTTTCTTGATCTTCTTGTAAAATTTCTTCAAATAACATATAAAAATGAATTGACCTGCCATCCTACACCCACACCGCCACACAAGTATTACTCGACGTGACACTACGTTACGACAAATAATGTTATGGTAGCCACCCTCGGTTCGGAATTTCACACAAAACCGAATTTGTGAGCCTACTTGTATCTTCTCCCTTTTAAATACTTTTTGCCCCTAATATAAACAATAAATATGTAATTATATGTATCATCAATGATAAACTCAAACATTTCAACACATAAGTCATAAAATATTTCAAATATTTAAGTCTAAAAACAACTAAAAACATAAAATACACCATTTGGAGCTTGCAATTATAGTAATTCGGTTTTTCGATCGGAAATTTGAAAATTCGGTTTGGTTGAAAGAACTTTCATTTCTCTTCCGAATTCCAAATCGAATAGCGTTATTTCGGTTTCAATTCGGATTTGCCGAACCGGTTGCCCTCCCCTACTCCATCAGTAACGACAATCCAACGAGCGAGTGGTAGTGGTACCACCACATTGCATTACCATTTACCAATCCAAATTCATAATCTCCAGGAGACGATACATACATAAATACCGTGGACGAGAAGAAATTAGAAATCTCGAAAGCGACACTAGAAAGATGGAAAAAAAGATAAGTAAAAACAAAACTAAAAAAGAAAGCTCGGGGGGAACCAACTGGACGTGTGTACCGAATATTCACCAGATTTAAATTCCTGGTTTCGCATCCGTTACACCACCTTGTCGATAAGCAGATGACCAAACGGCAATAAGCCGTATAACTTATCAGATATCTGATCTTACCTATCACTGATAGGTCAGTAGTGGTAGTAGGAATAATAACAAGGACGAAAGGAAAGCAAAAAGCAAGGGCAGAAGAACCGCATCGAAGATAGCGAGACCAAGTCCGCTCTTTCTTCTCACCTCGACGCACGCAGCCTTTGGAGGGAGGTGGGGGATAGGAAAAGAGAGAGAGAGAAAACCCTAAAAGAGCTCCGAGCTCGAATTCCGAGCTAGCTTGCCTTAAATTCCGGCGAATTTAGCTCAGATTTGGAGGGCTCTGGTTCCGGTGGGTCGGCTTAGGCAAGGCGCCATGACGTCTTTGAGCAGGGAACTGGTGTTTCTGATACTTCAGTTTCTGGAAGAGGAGAAGTTCAAGGAGTCTGTTCATAAGTAAGCTTCTCGATTCCCTCTCTCTATCTTTTTCCCTTTTTTTTTTTTTTTGCTTTTTTTGGCGCCTCGCTCTGTTTTTACGGTATCTGTTTCGATTTTCTGTTTGTTGGTTGTGTGAGGGATTGGGATTTGGAAGGTTCTGTATGGTGAATAGTTGAGAGTTGATTGCTGGTGCTCTTTTTGTTTGTTTGTTTGTTTGTTTGGCTGGTTGTATATGTAATTGGAAGGTAGTTTTTTTTTTCTCGGGGTCAGATTACTTGTTGTGAATGAGGAAAGAGAATGCTGGATAAATGTTGAAGGAAATGCGAAGAAAGGTGAATAACTTGAGAAAATCAAGCAGTCTTGTGTTAATTTTGTTCAATAATGTTTGTGTTTATAGAGGATTTGTTTGCCATATGATTTTGGTAAACCAGTGGAATTCGAATGAGGTGTGTTGTTAAGTTGGTGGATTTGGGTGGGGGGTTGGGATTGAAATGAGGATTGATTCAGGAACAGTAGAAGTGGAACGCTGCATGATCGAAATGTTTCTTGATTTTTGTTGGTTAGGCTTGAAAAAGAATCCGGATTTTACTTCAACATGAAGTATTTCGAGGAGAAAGTTCAGGCTGGGGAGTGGGATGAAGTGGAGAAGTACTTGGCAGGGTTTACCAAAGTTGACGACAACAGATACTCGATGAAGATATTCTTCGAAATCAGGAAGCAGAAATATCTTGAAGCACTTGATAAGTAATGTCTGAATCTTGGTCTAGTTGCTGGTACTTCCGAAACAGAGTAATGATTCCCCCGAGGGAGCATGGCATTGATGTGGTTTGTTTGTTTCTCTTCCAGACAGGATAAAGCGAAGGCTGTTGAAATTTTAGTCGGTGATTTGAGAGTGTTCTCCACTTTCAATGAAGAATTGTACAAAGAGATCACACAGCTCTTAACGCTTAACAATTTCAGGTAGTTGAAAGATCATTATGCGATTGCATGTTTGTTTCCATTAGGCACTTTGGCTGGTTAGAATATACATAGTTTAGGTGGAAAGAACAAGTTCTGTTTAGTAGGGATCTTTTTTTCTATTTCCTGAAATGCAGATTGTGTTAGTGCAGCTGTTTTTAAAAGTTAAATTACTTTCTCCTTAGGATATATTTTTTCTGCCCATACTGTTGCCCTGTCTAGTAAGCCACCTGTGGAAGGAATTTTTTTGTATGCCTGATTCATAAGGGTCAAACTTATGTATGTAATGTACTTTTCAACTTCTGTGTTAACAATGCAGGGAAAACGAGCAGCTCTCCAAGTATGGTGATACTAAAACAGCTCGTAGTATAATGTTGATAGAGCTGAAGAAGCTTATTGAGGCAAATCCTCTTTTTCGGGATAAGCTTGCCTTTCCTAGTTTGAAGGCATCAAGGTTGAGGACTCTCATTAATCAGAGGTAAACTTGCTTCATAAATGCATATTACAATAAGGCTTGCATCTATTTTGGAAATTTTGTCGTGTTTCCGTAGAGGTATCACCATGCAACTTGCAGGCACTGTTCAGTGCCTTTGTACGATATTGTATCTGACTTCTGGTCTTTACAGCTTGAATTGGCAGCACCAGTTGTGTAAGAATCCAAGGTCGAACCCAGACATCAAGACATTGTTCATTGACCATACATGCTCACCTACAAATGGTCCCCTTGCTCCTGGACCCGTGGTCAATCTTCCAGTTGCTGCTGTTACCAAACCCGCTGCTTATACACCTCTTGGGGCTCACGTTGTATGATTTCTGGTCTTTATTCATTGCTTTTAAGTTTTGCTTATACTATGAGTAAGTTGACAACTAAAGAATTTTTGCATGTTTATGTATAGCCATTTCCGCCTGCAGCTGCTGCTGCTACTCCTGGTGCTTTAGCTGGGTGGATGGCTAATGCTTCTGCTTCTTCATCTGTACAAGCTGCTGTCGTTACAGCATCATCCATACCTGTTCCCCAACATCAAGGTCAGTGGTTTATCTCAAGTGGCCTTGGCTAAGTTAGGAAAGTTATTCATACTGTAGAATCATTTTGAGCCTTGTTTTCACCTGCTAGCAGCATTCCAATCCTTGGTTACCTGCATCCTATAGTACTCACTTGTAAAAAAAAAAAAAAAAATTACATGCATCCTATTTATTTGGTTTCAGTTTCGGTTTTGAAACGTCCAAGGACACCAACAGGAGCACCTGGTATGGTCGAGTATCAAGGTCCCGATCACGAACTAATGAAACGTTTAAGGCCTGCTCAATCTGTGGAGGAAGTACGTGTTATTCTTATCATGCTGCTATAGAAGTTTTGTTACTTTTATTGTGCATAGACTGATGTTCTGTAGAATTACCTTTTCAGGTTACATATCCAACATCTCAACAACAATGGTCTCTGGATGACTTACCAAGAACTGTAGCCTTAGTAATGCATCAGGGTTCAAACATCATGAGCATGGATTTTCACCCTTCTCACTACGCATTACTACTTGGTTGATTTCAAACACTGTCCAGTAATGTTGCTGAACCAAATTGTAGTTGTACTTTTTTGTGTTCCTAATTTGTCATGCAAATTTGAGCAGTTGGTTCTGCTAATGGAGAAATTACATTATGGGACCTCATAGTCCGTCAAAGGCTGGCTTCAAAGCCGTTTAAGGTGTGGGACATGCAATCTTGCTCATTGCAATTTCAGGTGATATATTTTCTCCCTTACATCAATTTTTGTCTAGGCTGTGTTTTGAGCTCTATATCTATGAAAGAAAATCATGGTGTGTATTATTTGGAAATTTCTTGCAGGCTTCTATGGTCAAAGATACACCAATAGCTGTCACCCGTGTTGCATGGAGCCCTGATGGAAATTTTGTCGGTATGTAAATATTTGACAGATCACTAGTATTCTTAAATCACATTTGGTATCTTAGTCTTATTGTTCCTGCAGGTGTTGCATTTAGCAAACATTTGGTTCACCTGTATTCTTTTCCTGGACCCAACGAACTACGCCAGCATTTAGAGGTGAGTAATATTATTTTTTTACACATCAGGGACAAAATCATGTGACAAAGATCTTAAATGAATTGCTTGTTTATGTCAGCTTGATGCCCATGCTGGTGGGGTTAATGACTTGGCTTTTGCTCATCCAAACAAACAATTATGTCTTGTAACATGTGGAGATGATAAGCTAATAAAGGTAAGTGGTTTTCTATCAGTTGTTTGAATATATAGTGTTATCTGAGTAAAAGGCATGATGATCTTATGATAGAAAGTGAACAGGTGTGGGATTTGACTGGGAAGAAGGTTTTTAATTTTGAAGGCCATGAAGCACCTGTGTATTCCATTTGCCCTCACCACAAAGAGAACATCCAGGTATCTCACTAAACAAATTTAGAGGTGGCAAATAATTGGTTTTGTGGGTTAGGTTTAAATGAGTTGTGTGATCATTGGGGAATCAGTGACATTCTCTTGAAAAGTTTTATGCTGTTTGGAGGAAATTTAGTCCTTTATCTGGTGTTAGGGCTGTTGGCCATTGGGTAAAGTTTTAGAAATTTAAATACGAAGTGTAAATTTGTCTGGTAGATTGGTTTGTTATTAGCTAAAGCCTAAAAAATGAATACTCTAATGTAATTTTCTGTTTTCTGGAATGGATTTGCAGAATGATTGAGACTTTTTTTTAGATAGGGTTTTAGACATGAGTTGGCTGCTACTTGCCACCTCTGTAATCATCTAAGGAACGTGGTATAGCTGTCCGTATTTGTCAATAATGCGTATTGTTTTCAAGTTCATGGTTCTTCGTGAATATATTCTGTATAATTGACTCTCCTTGCTGTTTATGTGGGTAGTTCATCTTCTCAACTGATATCGATGGAAAGATAAAGGCCTGGCTATATGATAATATGGGATCTCGGGTTGACTACGATGCACCCGGGCGCTGGTGCACTACTATGCTCTACAGTGCTGATGGAAGTCGGTAAGATTATGGGGACAACGGTATAAATGTCAAATTTGACTCAGAAAATTTCTTCTCATTTTTGTTTGCACTGTTTCTGCTCTTAGGTTGTTTTCTTGTGGGACAAGCAAAGAAGGGGAATCTTTTCTTGTAGAGTGGAATGAAAGTGAAGGAGCCATAAGGAGGAGGTATTCCGGGTTTGGAAAGAAATCAGTTGCTGGTGTCGCGCAATTTGACACCACGCAGAACCATTTCTTGGCTGTCGGTGAAGATAGTCGGATAAAGTTTTGGGATATGGACGATACTAGCATGCTCACCAGCATTGAAGCTGACGGTGGACTACCTGTTAGTTTTCTTTTTGCCCGTGTGGTTTCTAGCACTTCCAGAGTATTGTACTACTAAAATACCTGGCCCTTATTTCATCCTTAATCTCCCCAGGCTGTTCCTCGGTTGAGATTCAGCAAGGACGGGAAGCTTCTAGCTGTGACCACTGCAGACAATGGGTTCAAGATTCTCGCTAATAATGCTGGACTTAGGTCGTTGAGAGCAGTCGAGAATCCACCCTTCGAAGCACTTCGGTCACCTATTGAATCTACTGCTGTCAAGGTGTGTATGCTTCTTTCGTGTAGTTCCGGATGACCAAGTATTGCTTCCCAACATTTATGAAAACCTCTTGGTTGTTATTAGGCTTCCGTAGCATCTGGTGTTCCAAGTGTTAGCCCAGTCAATTTGAAAGTTGAGAGAAGCTCTCCTGCTCGGCCTTCTCCAATTCTGGTATGTCTGATATGTAGCTGTTGTTGTGGTTACTTAGTTTCATTTCCGAAAATTTTAGAATTGATGAAACAATCATATGCATTTCACTCATCCAGTTGGCACAAATGGAAGGGTACCTCCAGTTGATTAAATAACCAGCTTCTCAGTCAAATACTTCCAACTTTTTCTATTCTATGTTGATGAATGCATAACTTGCTGTTAGCTATTTAACTTTCTTTCTTCCAAAGGATTAATTGCTCCTTTTCATTTTCTTTGGAAGAATGGTGTTGATGCAATGAACAGAAGCTTGGAAAAGCCCAGAGGTGCAGAGGAGGCCATTGAGAAGTCAAAGCCCTGGCGGTTGACCGAAATCTTAGAACCTAATGACTGTCGATTGGTCAGCTTACCCGATAGCACAGATTCTTCCAGCAAGGTTGTCCGACTTCTGTATACAAACTCTGGCGTCGGAATTTTGGCACTGGGCTCAAATGGCATTCAGAAGCTCTGGAAATGGGCCCGAAACGAACAAAACCCTACTGGCAAGGTAATACTGTGCATGGAAACAAAGGCGGCTTTCAGTTTGGTTTATATTTAGTTGTTGACAATAGAAAAAAGAGTTTTCGTTTGTTGAGGATAATTCTGGTTTTGATTTTTTAAAGGCCACTGCCAGTGCGGTCCCACAGCATTGGCAACCAAACAGTGGCCTTCTGATGACAAATGATGTATCCGGTGTCAACCTCGAGGAATCCTTCCCATGCATAGCGCTCTCAAAGAACGACTCGTACGTGATGTCAGCAGCAGGAGGGAAGGTGTCGCTCTTTAACATGATGACTTTTAAGGTGATGACAACGTTCATGTCACCCCCTCCCGCGTCAACTTTCCTCGCGTTCCATCCTCAGGACAACAATATTATAGCCATTGGCATGGAGGATTCGACCATTCACATATACAATGTTAGAGTAGACGAGGTAGAATGATTAACCAACTCCTCCCCTGTTTACTTTGTGTTTTAGACTTGCTCGCTGATAGACTGTTTCCACTTTGGCGCAGGTGAAATCGAAGTTGAAGGGTCACCAGAAACGAATTACAGGATTAGCATTCTCTACTAGTCTCAATGTGTTGGTCTCGTCTGGAGCCGATGCTCATGTGAGTATAAGCACAAGTGGTGGTGTTGAAATTTTATATCTCGAGATCTTACTATTTTAGTTTTATTTGTCTGTGATTGTCTGATCTTGCATTAAAAGCCGACTTTGTTTCCTCATGAAATGACTCAATTTCTGCACTCTGCTGCAGCTGTGCATCTGGAGCATTGATTCATGGGAGAAGAGGAAATCGGTGGCAATCCAGGTCCCACCTGGAAAGCCTCAAACTGGAGAGACACGTGTGCAGTTCCATTCGGACCAGATACGGTTGCTGGTGGTCCACGAGACTCAGCTCGTGATATTTGACGCGTCGAAGATGGAATGCATTCGTCAGGTTTGGGAATTACGAGACTCAGTACATTACCAGAACCTAGATTGAAGAACTATCTGTTGTGATCTAATCTTCAACCTTTCTGCAGTGGAAGCCACACGACGGTATCCAGGCTCCTTTATCATACGCGACATACTCCTGCAACAGCCAGTTGATCTACGCAACCTTCTGCGATGGGAGCTTAGGGGTGTTCGATGCAGATACTCTGAGATTAAGGTGCCGCATTGCTCCATCGACTTACCTACCTCAGTCCGTCTTGAATGGGTACGTTTTCTTTTCTTCAAAGGGTTAACTACATAAACGGTTACTAAATGTTGAAAGATTGGAATAACTAGCCAATATGAAATGTCCACATCAGTCCACCAACTCACCAACATTAACTATGAAAAAGTCATCTTAGTTGGATTAAGAGATTTCATGTGAATTTGTTTTGTAATATTTTGGCTGAGTTGGCATGTTGATTTGGCCAGAACTTGGACGAGAAATCGTATGTAGATCAATGATATAGTGGGTACTTGTTGCGTTTTGCACCAACCTTATCAAAGTATAGCTCAATTCGGTTTCGAAACTTACATTCAAGACTCTTACATTTTGGTTTTCCTCAAGAAATCGGAAAACCGGGCTCGATTAAATAAGCTTCACTTTGATTCTGGTCCTTAATTTCCCTTTATTTTAGAGTGTCACATTACCTTACATGGATCACTTAAGGAACATAATCTTGGTTTATCTCTCTACAGAAGCCAACCCGTCTACCCGCTTGTCGTAGCTTCCCACCCACAGGAACCGAACCAGGTGGCCATCGGGTTGACCGATGGGACGGTGAGAGTGTTGGAGCCTGTAGAGTCAGAAGGGAAATGGGGATCATCGCCTCCGGTCGATAATGGGATCATGAACGGTAGAACTACATCGTCTTCAACGACGAGCAACCACACCCCTGATCAGTTGCAGAGGTGAGATGAAAGATGGGACATATATTCTACTACTTATAGATTGTTTTTGTATTTTTAGTTTGGTCTGTGTAGGTTTTGCCCCGTTTGTTAAATTTCGACTTACAGAAAAGCTAGGTTGGTAGATGTAATATACTGTATGTTAAATGGAATGAAATGGAAAGGTCCATTATATTTTTTTAAAAGCAACTAAGTTAGTCACATCTATGTTTGAACGACTTGCTAAAATAATTGACATGTAATTTATTCATTGAAATTAAAAACAATGGGGGTGTTGCGAGAACTGCTAAAATAATTGACATGTAATTTATTCATTGAAAATAAAAACAATGGGGGTGTTGCGAGAATCGAACTCACGACCTCTCGCACCCGAAGCGAGAATCATACCACTAGACCAAACACCCTCATTGATCATTGTGGATGTATTGCCACAATTGTTTTCTCACCAAATCAAATCTAGAGCCAACATAGTTGATCTAGTTCTAGAAATGAAAAAAAATTGTAATCTATGTATCTAAAATCGAAGCATGGGGGGTGGTGGAGATGGTAATCCGAGGTCACTATGGTGCTATATTTTATATGATATTAGAGCTCTTAATGATGCAGGATGCAAATTACACGATGATTGAATGTCATTATGGTGGATCTAGACATATGTGCCATATTGTATATGATTAGAGTCCCTTTGACTCGCAATCTTGATCCTAACAGCATGTGAGTTGCTTTATCATTGCTAAGTTTATTCCAACCATATATGTTGTGGCAAATGCCAGGTATAATAGGCAACGATAATGGACCCTACAGAGGTCTCCGATGAGGAAGTCGACACAGTTTGATCGATGAGGGACTTCTGTGTCCATTCTCATCAATCCATGAATTTGGGATTGAGCATATATCCTTTGAAGATCGTCCTTGTCTTATACACACAATTGCATCAACAACCAAGCAAATAAATCGAACATAAAAGATAGAAGAAAGCAACTCATATATACCAAAACCATAAGTTGCATAGTCAAAGAATCTCTAGGATTTTTAAACCTATGCAACTAAGGAACTAGCCGACCATGGGGATGGGTTTCTGGGGGAAAATCAGTCAAATGGAATAACCAAAAATCCCACGGACTCCATGGCCATAATACAAAATCGGCGGATGATCCGCCGTTTTTGGCGCTGATTCTCCCTTTGAGTTTGGCTCCGCTCTAAGTCGGGAGAGTCACTCTGTCAGCAAAGTAACAACTAACAACCCTCTAATGCCTGCTATCATTGGCTACCAAACTTCTACCTTCTAGGGGTCTATTTATAGGCATCTACATAAGGTTTTATGGGAGAAAAAGTTGGCCTAAACGCATCTTCCAAGTTCCTTTGTGTCTCTTCCTGCTTGACCACCATGTTTGGCATATTTCATGAGAATTTAGGCTCGATCTGGAGATCCTCCAGAACAGTGGCCAAGCACAGTTGTAGGTTATGGTGGATTGTTCTCCATGCTATTTTATGGGCTTGTCTCCAAGCAAACCTCACTCATAATCTTACAACTCACTAGACCGCTTCGATGACAAGTGAATTCCAATCATAGGTAGTGGATCATAAGCATCTTACAAGGCCAATCCTCAAACTTAGAGAAACATACCACATCAATGAGAAGCATATCTCCTGAGGACAATTCGGTCAATCTCTATCAAGCATTAGCTCCAAACTCAACTTGAAAGTGTCAAAACATTCCAGGTGAAGATTGTTGCAAGGTTGATTTTGACGTTTATGGTGTCTCTTTTATGACTATCGTGCCAATTTTTGTACTTATTGTAGCACAAGTTGGTTTATTTCTCTTTGTACATTGATATATCGTAGCCTTGATCAAACAAGGGCAATTATTGCACCTTAGCACTCACAAAGTTGTTCATTTAACTATGTTTCCTCAATTCGTATGAAGAGGCAATGCTATAAAGGGTATAAGAAGCTTTATCCATGCTATCCAAGTACAATTCTCAAACGACACTTCAATCGGTTGGGATTGTACTACATAAACAACATCGTACGGTCGCCAACCATTGCTCAATTGAAATGTTTCAATATATTCCTCTGTGCAATGAGTGATTGCCTCATACGTGACATACTTCACCCCACACTTTATTTGTAAATGCATCGTCTTTATACTACTATGTCAGGAAGGATTTTCGAATGTATATAAAGATACAGTTCGACCCCCAAAAGAAATTTTAAGAGTAGGAGACTCGTTGGAAGAGTATAAGTTTATAAGAACTCCCAAAGGACTAGTGATAGGAATATTTTCCATAAATTTCAAATGGTCTTTAGTTTCATGACGAAGACTTCCTTCATAGCCACTACACTAGCCTTCAACGCAAACACCAACAATTCCAAGTAAGATGAGCTTTAGAATTGCTTTCATGAGTATGACATTGACTCGCTACGGCACAACTCCTAACAAAGGCCAAGTGTAACCAATGAAAGGGACTGCAGTATAGTGGCTCAAGTGATAAATATCGAATCCACGGGTCTCTAGAGTTACTATTACTCAGCTTCAGTTTATTATTTAGCAAACCAGATTAATAAGGAAGAACTAAAACTACTCTAGCAAACTACAGTTAAAGTTAATCTAATTACAGGTTGGGAACTCACTTAGTTATGATTCCCCCTAGCCACTAGCCAGACCAACGATTGATGATTTCTAACTTGTTTCACTTTCATTCACAATGCGGAGAATCCTTGACTAGACCTTGAGTCTCGACTAAAGGAACAAGGCCCTCTTGAGTCAATTGCCTAGAGGGACGTATCCTTCTCTAGAACAACTGATCAAGGCGTTCTGAACTAGACTCCCTCTATCGAAAGAGGTTCTCAATCGATACAAAGCAGTGAATCAACCCTCGACTAAAGCAATCGATCCACTACTATCAATCTATGGTGCTCTATTGAATCATAAAAACATGCATAGATTGAATATGAACTCAAGATTATCAAGTCAGAGTACTCATACAATGATCCATTCAAACAAACATAGCTAGGGTTCCTCAAAACCTAAGTGAAGGGAAGTTACTCCATAGAGAAGAGAGAGACTGCAGTAAGAATCTTCAGATGATCAGTCTTCAAGTCCGGGCTTGTTCCTCGAGCTTCCAAGGCAAAGAAATCCTCCAATTCCACTCCAAGAATGCCCTCAAATCGCCCTCTCTCTCTTTGGTTTGTCCCTTGGGTGTTTGGGGATCCAAAACCCAGCTCTCCCTCTCCTTTGGCTTGAATTTGCGTTAAAAAACCTGATTATGGGCAAAACACGGTCGAGGGCACGGCCGTGCTTTGCTTTTGACCGCCCGTGTTTTGCCCCGTGTTAAAAACACGCTCGCGCGCGTCGGCCAAAACACGGTCGTGCCTAAATATGGGCACAGCCGTGTTTTGATTTAGGCGCGCCCGTGTTTTTACTGCCGAACCTGTTCCCCTATATTCAATGCTTCGTTTCTCCCTCGTCCGGACTCCGAATCAGTCGTCGTTTGATCACAGACGCTCGTAGTCTCGTCCTCTTTCTTTTCATGACAAGCTTGCATGATTCTTTGTCCATAAAGTGAGGTAGAAATTCATTCTTCTTCAAGTCATGCCCGAGTTTCTTCTCCCTAATCGCCAATTGATCTCTGATTAACTTGAAACTTGAGCCTATGCTTCACTTTATGTGCTAGGACCTGAAATGTGACAAAGGAACACAACCTAGCGTAAAATAGGCCAAAGACGCGATAATCAAAGCTCAAACGATCAAGAAACGAAGGGGAAAACATGTGCAAATATCGAGTCATCAGACATTATTTTAAAAAAATGGTAATTATATGATGCTCAATGCACACACAATTGTCCCCCATTTGCATGAATAATAAGATACTTTCAATGGTAGTTAAATGTGCAACACAATCTACTAAATCCCATCTCACATTTTTATATAAGGCAATGTCCTCATTGGACTAGGTAGGAAGTTGGAAGAAAGTAGAACGAGAATACCATAATGTAAGCAATCCATGCAAAATGACTAGTTCATTGTATGATTTTGGTTTCTGAAAGCAAAAAAAAAAAAAAGGTGCAAATTCAGTCGCTCCTTATAACATAAGTACTAAATAACAGAAGCACAACACAAATAAAATAACAGCAACTAACACAAACCAAATCTCCTCACTAGCGGAGTCCCCAAGATCAGGGTGCTGCCTGATAGAGATGAAATATCTCCACCAATTTAGGAACAGACTTACTCTTCCACTCTCCCATCTCACTGTTATTCTGTTGCACAATTCCAGGGTTTCGGTTCTTGATTTCCTTAGGATTAGATTTGTCTAACAACCAAGTGCTGATGTATGGTGTATAAATATCTTTACAAGAATAATAACAACTCAGGATTCCTAAGACTATTTCATGGTATCAGAGCCTCAAATCCTCTAACGAGGTGCTCTGTTTTCTTTTCTTTCTTCCCGGCCTTGAGTTCAATGGTAGTTTTATCCAACTATTATCCTTTTCGTTGGGTGATTGGCCCACTTACAACCGTCCCACTTCCACCACCATTAGTATCTTGTCATTGCTCTCCCTCTTATGCAATGAAATAACAGAGATTTCCATCTCCTCATTGTCTCTTTCCTCTGTTTCTTCTTCTTCAATAGCTCTACTTACTCCAATGTTCTACAATATATTTCCCTACTCTTCCTTCTTTACTTCCCACCACCTCTGCCATGCCTCTCATCAATCCTCACTTTCCCTTTCCCCCCCTTCTTCCTCCTTTGTAACTCTCTTCACCTTCACTCCCCAATGGAATCTCAGCTTTATATCAATCCATTCATTACCCCCCACCAAAACCCACTTCTCAGTTCTCCAATTCTTCCCTTTCCTACGCCCCTTTAATCCAGATCAATCTCGAACGAACTCGGTCCAGCTTCCTTCCATGGATTTGTGCTTACTCGTCAAGTTAAAAGACCATCATTCTATGTCCGCACTCTGTTCCTCTTAGGTTCCCTCACCGCCCTCTCTTCTACC